CCCCGTAACTGCAGGTCACTACTTAACAATAGGTAAAAGGTAACGATTAACTTGAAAGCTACTGTTTCATGACATCACAAGGTGGAACAGAGCATTCTGAGCTTTGAAAATGTAGACAGACTAATGCAAGATGACTCAAACGTGTGAATGAAGCAAAACACAGATCCAGGTATATTTTTAAATAAGTTAACAACATTCTAATGTGGCTTAAAGCTCAGAATTTATTTTTATTTATTTATTTATTTCGGTCACAGGTATATTTTGACATTAATTCACAGACATATTTAACATACACAGACTGAAAAAGTGTAGGCTGAAGCTTAAGCTTATTATGCCTACCCTTTATTCCTTTGTCAGAGCGTCATCTTAACACCAGTTCACTAAATGAAGAATTCATTTAGTGAAATATATGACCTTTAACACACAGAAGATATCAGTGAACTACAAATCTTGATCAGTGGGAGGGATGGAAACTGTAAAGCATGCTATGAGTGTTAAGTACACAGCTCATCTTTGCCCCGGCAATGATGAGCTGTATATTTAGTTTCTTTGACTCACACAGGCCTGAATTTCATCTACTAGTATCCACTACAACTCCTCTCACACCTCTATGGGCAGTTGTATTTTAACTTTGCTACCCTGCCCTTAACTTCCACTGTTTTGCCTGATTTTATCCAATGTATTTTGCTAAAGATGATCTCATGTCCAGTGGATTCTTGAGGGAGCAGAGGGAAGAGCGAGGACAGATTATTTTACATGAATAGCTCTCAGTTGTGTGTGCATGTGGTGAGTGGACAGGTCAGAAGGGACATCATACTACAGACATGAGGACAGGAGTTTGACACGCTGACATGGGCCATTAACAGGCTAGAGAATAAGAAAGAGAGTTTGACAGTAGATAGAGAGGAAAGAGAGAGAGGAGAAAGCAAACAAAGAGGGATAGGAGAAGTAGGATGTAATCTTATTTACAATTTTCTCTTTTAGTGTACAATTGCAACACATTGCTAAATATGTGAAATAATGGTCAGTGTAAGTCATTGGGGGGGTGGGTCCATTTAATACATTGTCTGACAGCGTGATCGTTTACCATTAATTTTAGGCCTATGTCATAGTGCAGTGTGACCATGGATCTATTAAAATAACTGGATACAGTACTACTAGCTTGTAGCTGCCTCCAGTTGACATAGTGGTCACTCACTGGAACTTCAGCGGAAAAAATCCCATGGGCCGAGACAAGATTTTTCTCATAGAGTGCAATGTAATCACAAACTGCTTGTGTTCGTCTGACAGGGCACCTACAACTTTCAAAAATGTTGGATTTGTTGGCAATTTTTACCTATTTTTAGATCATAAACTTTTTCTCAACTCAAAATCCTTCAGTTGTCTTAAGAAAACGCTTTATAATCGTTAGCTTCGGCTCCGCTCTGCTCTGCTCCGCCCTAGCTCCTCTCGCTCTGATTGGTCAAAGCGATCACGTGATACACGAGCCCATGCTCTCTGCGTTCGGTTGCGTGCATTCGAGTGTGCCCGTGGGAGAAAAGAGCAGTACTGCGCATGCTCGGTCGGCCCACAGCCACCAGAAGTACCTAGCCGGGCTAGGCTAATTTGGGATCATGCGCCATTGAGCTCGGCCCATCGACTTGAATGGGTGGCCATGTTGGAACCTGGGGGCTTGAGTGTGACATTATTATAGTAATATAGTCATTATCTATGACACCCATGGGTAATTTTGTTATAATTTACATATTTTAAATTGCGATGTTCATCTAAAATTCCTTAATAAAAGAAATAAGTCAGCTGACTTCCGCTTTAGAAAAATGCAGTGACCAATGGGAGCTGTAAATGGCATCAAAATGGATGGATAGCTGCAGATTTTTTCCCCATTTTATCAAAATCACTACGTGACTCTGTCGAATAAAATGCTATCACAGCTTAAGAAAATAAAATGGGAGAACAAAATAAGTATAGAGCAGTGGGTATAGAAAAAAATGGAGGTTGATCGGCAATATGTCATCTTCGAAATAAGCAAATAAAGATTACTCAAACATGCAAGCATCACCACAAATATAACTCTGAGAAGGTAACTGAGAAAGAGAAACAACTATAACATGGCCAAAAGCTCTGCCTATCATTTGGGCCAATTCAACAGGAAGCCTGAGGACCAACAAAAATTGGTCTGAGAGCTACTTTTGGCCCTTGGACCATAGTTTGGACACCCCTGGTTTAGTGTATGTCACAGGAACTAAAACCAAACTATCGACTCTGGTCTAAGACAGGAGGCAGGGGCAAGAGGCAGGGACAGGATGCAGGGACAGCGGACAGGAGGCAGGAACAGGAGGCAGGGACAGGAGGCAGGAGAGTCCCTAAACAGACGGGACTATGAGAGGGATAGAGATAGCACTGGGAGCTCCTTTGCTGTTATTGGACAGAGTTGAAAGAAAGACTCAAAAGTATAACCCTGAAAAAGGGTGGACAGGAGATGGTCCAGGTCTTCTGATCTGATTGAACTGCTAAAGACTGACTAAAGAAAATGAGCACGACACAGGAATACTACACAGCAGAAGAGTGGGGCTGCACTTGGAGGATCTAAAGGACTGTATGGGGACAAAAAAGGCCAGTAAAGAGCTCATTCCAGTCATAACATTTAGATATTCTTCCACCATCCGCAGCCTATAAAAAAAATAAATAAATAAATGTTTTACTGGCCTGTCCCTGCTTTAGCAGCAACTTTAGCAATCCCCACATGAGCTAATTTAGATCCCAAAAGTGTTCACTGCTTAGGCAACGGACTAATGAAAGTGTGTAATGGGCTGGAACACAAGAAAAGGCTAAAGACAAAATGAAATGTCCCGAGGATATTGGATATATGCTGTAAGGGGAAAAACAGAGGATGAGGTGAAAACATGGATGTCAGTAAAAAGCTGGGGTCATCACTCACACAAGCAGAGCCGCTATTAGCACTGTCCGCCCCATTTGCTCTAAACAGCCGTTGAGCTACGAGTTGTTCAGCACTGTATTTGGTGTTAAATTATAGAGAAAATGTAAAATATATGGGCTGCAGTAGGGAGAAATGAGTGTGAAGAAAGACACAAAACAGTCTGCGTACCACTGGCTGTGCAGGATGTGAAGCTGTGGAACGCAACAGGTTAGAGGCTAATTGGGTTGGGAGTAGGTCTGGGTTAAATTGAAGAGCTAAGGTCATTGAAGTTGACATTTAGTGAGAGACGAACTATGACGATTTGAGTAGTTTAAGACACTTGAAGGAATTGGGGACCTAAACAAAACAGTGCAACCACTTAAGCAGTGATTAGGAAACTGATTTGTGACTACAAAAACATATTTTGATGAACCGCGTACAATAAAGAAATACAACTTTGTCTTATCAGCATGGCTATTTTTATAACCCATAATGTAATTAGATGAGGATGAGGGGGGCATATTGGCAGGTACTTTATCATCAAGCTCAAGTAGTAAGTACTGTACAACAATTCTTATTTATCTAGTTTCACAAATCATATTCAGGAGCGCGTATTTCATATACCACAAATACAAGATGGAAGGAATTACACAAGATAGAAACATCCTGGAATAGCATTCTTCTCCTATGATGACATTTGGCCTGAAGATGGATTTTTTATTTTTTTTTTATCTAAAACATCCCAAAACACAGAGGCCATTTTTACTTTGAGATATAATGAATCTCTCTAAGTACAGCAAAGGAGCATTTCTTTAAATAGGAATGGAAATTGCTTTTAAAGAGACTGTTCCCATTTTTTTTTTTTCATGAATTAAGTTTTTTCATTAGTTAAGTTGTGCTTTGCCCCACATATATTGGGAGACCAATGTATGTATGGTATAATGCTAGTGCACTTCATATAACCTATGCCAATTACAGGAGGAATCAAAAATTGGCCAAGGATAAAATATTTGTATACAATTTACTATTTTTACATAGTTTTTTGTGTGCATTTATCAACCTAGTTTGTGTGTGTGTGTTTAATATGAGTGAGGTAAGAGCAAAGATTAACCATGGTGGATGATTAATACAACTTGACTTACTGACTTACTGTGAGCAATTATGGCCATGTCTTTTCTCAAGCCTGGCTTTCTCACACTCATGCTGCAACAAATGGGGGTCTCGGAACATGTGCATACCAAACACACACGCAGATGCCACGGATCGCCACGCAGCCCACCCTCCGCTCAACCTCAAAACCACCAAGGGTTAAATATAATCAATCTTCTTTAACAATGCTGTCAGGAGAGTGTCTGAGAACGCTGACAGACACAAACTGTTGTACGTGCACTATTGTTAGCCCAGGCCGCAAACAGTGTGAGCATATCTCTCCACATTCAATTTAGCCTATGGACAAAAGCATGTTATGTGAGGTACACACTTGTATTCTCCAGAGAATCAGTGTATTTATGGTGAGCTGTTAATGCTTCCCATGCACACTGCGACTCATAACTTAGTAACCACGCAATAGTCATGACAGTGTATATGACCGAAAGCTAACAATAACAAAGACCACAGTGTTTTTGCTCATTATAAATTTCACAAGTCTTAGTAAAATAACCACAAGATTAGACAGTAATCGTAGAGTTATGGGTAACTGATTTCATGTGTCCGTCATGGTTCAATTGTACAAGATACCATAGTGTACCATTGCAAGTGCACAAGTAATAAACCTAAAAGCTTGTATTACCACTTGCTCTTACACTTTCTTATTCACTCGCTGCCTATATGAACATGTGAATCTGTATCAAAGTTGTTTGTGTATGTATGGGTAGGTATTTATCACACTGTGGAGATTAAAATACATATACACAATCACATCATGGGGACCTGCCTCTGTTATGGGGGCAAAATCAGGTCCCCATGACGTCACTCCTTTATTATTAGAAATTTATGAAATTTAGTGTCCCCCTGAAGCATGGAAGCCCCCATGTATGCATGTGTGGGTATGCTTGGGTGTGTATGCAGGTGTGTAGATCTATACCTGTGGGGACTTGTGAGACCTCCAGCTGTACTGATGACTGTGGAGACTGGCCAGCAGCACGTTCTCATCTGTGTCTACCTGACCGAAGCGCAGCGTCTCATGAGTGTCGTTACAGATCACATAGTGGCTGTACACAAGCTCCTCTGACTCGGGCTCACCGTTCTGCATGAGGACACAAAAGGATTATTATTTAAAAAAATAATTTACATATAACAAAAGTTTGTTAAAGTGGTTTTAGTGAAGTGCTATTTCACATATTAAAATATTGGTTTGTTTTTATAAAGTTTTTAAAAATCCCACACATAATGCATTTTATTTGCGTGATACTATGAAAGCAGCTTGTCTGGGATCTGAAGGCCAAATCCATTCACAGTTAAAGTGAAACCTCCTGGAGGCCTAATCCTTTGGCAGGCCAGCGGTTTCCTCACACCCTTCATAAAACAGCTAAATGTTAAGTCTATGCTCCGATAAACAACTTTGGACATGTCAACCCATTTCAAACGGCAACTTGCTTTTTTCAAAACATTTTTTCACTATGAAACGAGCCTCTCAGTACTGGGCATTCCTTGCAGTAAGAGTCATCAATTTATTGTGGTTTGTTAGAAGAAAACAATATGGTGGAGTGGTGGAGTCTGTCCCACCTAAAGCAATGGGTCAGTGGACAGCAGAGATCTGCAGTCATGCAAATTGTATGAGGAGTCCAACTCATACATCAGCTAGACTTTTATGCTACCACCAAAGTGGGTGTAGTTTCTTTTTGGCTAATAAGAAATTCAACATTTTCTTTTTTTCTGTTTTACTTTCCACATATTTCACCTTATGTTTTTGCTTTACAGAAAGACACCCATTAATTCTAATCTACAGTGAAAAAAATTGTAGAAATACTATTTTATGAAGAAAAAAAATGCAGAGGACAAGGAACCAAATGATAAACATAACAAATAAGTATATGTTGTTATTATTGTAGTAAAATATAATTTTACCATACATTTACATTTAGAGTACATTTACATTCACTGATTATGATCAGGTTCTCTAACTGTCCTGGTTTAGTCTTGGTGCATGTTTACACAGTACTCAGTAACAGTATCACAAATAAGCCATTGTAGCTGAGATATTCCACAGTAATCTGATCGTGTATACAGGGATATGAGTATCCTGGTTTCTCAGCTTGCATGTAAACATATAATATGATAAATAGTGTCATAACCAGGACAAGGCTCATAACCCTGAAACTCAAGTGCATGTAAACGAACTTACTGGTGCTGAAATTTGATTAGCTGCTGTACTTCACTTTTTTGTTTAAAACATCTGCTTGCTGGATGCTCTTGGAGAGATTTCAAAGAAAGGGTCTTACTTCAGGGTCTGTCTGGTTGGCACGGTAACACTGTGAAGTAAATTTTCATTGAGACCATAGCATGATATTTAGCCAATTTGTGGAAATAAATCACGGCCTATTCATTAATTGGGTCATCTGTTGACTACAAACTTTGTTATTGTAGCTCAAGTAATAATTGAGATGACTAATTTTACATGGGTTGGACTGGCACACCCATTCAATGACTATTCACGCAAACACAACCTCAACTCTATATCTACGCCTCTCTACGCACTGAGGCACTGTGTAACATACTAACAAACCAATGGCTAAAAGACTTGTAACATAATTTGTTTGAAACAGAACATAAAGACAAAATGAAGCATCAGATATTATGATGGTAGCTTGAGCATCACAAACATCTAATATTTATTGCTGCTTCTTTCTATTTTACTGTACTTTATGTTGTTCAATTATTTGAAATCTAATCAATTAAAAGCATGAAACCTGTGCAAATCTTGGCTCGCTGTGGCAGCCCAGATTGACAAAAAGCATAAGTCATGAGATTGTACAGCTGTATCAAAACACCAGCATACCCCAGACGGCCCTATACTTTTAAATGGCAAGGAGTTGGTTGATGGTTGATGGTTAAAAGAAGCTGGCAGTAACAGCTCTGAGTTCCACTGCCAAGCACGTTCAGGGTCCCGGGGTTGTTGACGCTATTGAAAACGGATGGGAAAGTTTACACCATTAAAAGCACACTTGCTGATAGACGTGTGGAAGAGGTACAACAGTGCACAAATACAGACAGGACAGCTGTGAGACTGGACCACTTCGAGTTTTATAGCCGAACACTATCTTTGCTTTCCCTATGAATGTGACACACCGCTTTACAAACTTCCTGCTGCCATCTTTAGATACCAAAGCTAAGCCCGAACTCTTTGATGGTATCGTCTTTCCACTTGAATTCACAAGGCAACTTGATACACATGTCAGAGAGCTTCCCTGAGTAATAATCACTCCTCTTGCATCGAGGGACTTAAAGAAGACAAATATTAGGACAAAGGCATTTAAACAGTCAACACATCTTCCTAGTTAAAGAGCAAGAGATGACAGCTTGTTCCTTAGACATAGGTCCTATACCAGGCATCAAAGTATCCATTCCCCAAATCCAACCAGATGATATTACTTTAGTTTTTACAAAGTCTGGGCCAGATTAGGGAGAGTGGCACATATATAAATGGCAAGGTACAGTAAAAAGTCTAGGATGTAGATTGTAAATAATGGCACCCACAATATAAGAAACATTATACCACAGAGGAAAAGAAGTGAAGCCATGGTAAGACCAATGCTGAAATATAGCGACAGCATTAGGACACAATGATTAGCCTTAATATCAACAGGATATCCCACTATAGAGAGAAACCTATCTATAACATCTGCAGCAACCAAGAACTTCAGAAAACACGATCAACCATTAGCCAACCTTTCAGTTATAATGTCATTCGCATTGACTGTGTAAATTTTCAAAAATAATAGATTGTACAGTCCTAGCCTGAAAATTATTACTTAGTTGCAACTCAAGAAAACTAATGAGAGCATCCGTGTTGTTCCATACGCATAGCTGCCTGTGAGAACACCGAGAGGGTAAATACTACTGGCCTTTCGTGTGGTTTCCCAACAAAGCCACTTCCCTGGGGTTAAGGGCCCGGGGGAAAGACGATTCGGAGCTGGGGTTGGGGACTCGAGATGGAGATGGAGGTATGGATGAGTGAGGTTACAGTGGTAAAGGCTGAGGTTAGGGCCAGATGGGGCGCTGCACTGGAAAAATGTCAACCAAAAGTAGAGAGATGGTTCAGGCAAAACCAACAGGGATATGTGGATGTAATGTTGGGTAATGTTGTAGGTAACAAATATGTAGTTTGGCTTCTTATGGAATGGTGAGTCATAAAGTTACTATATACACACACACACACACACACACACACACAGATATATATGTATAGATATAGATATATATAGATAATAGATACAAATATATAAAGATAGATATATATAGGCTGCCACAGCTGCCCTGGAGCAGACTGACGGAAGTGAGTATGCCAATCTGTGGCATAGGCCCCTCTGACCACCATCAACACTCACGAACACTACACTTTCATACTAGGCACTGTGGGTGAAGTGGTTTGCCTAAGGACACAACAACATTTTTTGTGACTGGCATTCCATTGTGGCACCTGATTTTCCCAGCAGTCTCCTGTCCATGTACTATCAAGGCCTGGCTTTGCTTAGCTTCTGAGATCTGATGGAATCTGGCTTTAACAAGCTGGTACTGAGACCCTTGTTTAGTCTGCAATACAGTAAGAACGTAGAGGTGAGATTGTAATGTTATACAATATTATTTGACACCAGTACCTTGCTATTTTAGTTTATCTTTATGTCTTTATTTGAAAGGATAATGTACAGAGACATTAAGCTCATAAAAACAGAGATGTTCCACACCAGATTATAGCTAAATAGCTCATTTCCATTTGCTACTTATATTGAATTTATTATTACAATTTATATTTTTGTTCTTATTCATTATATTTATTGTGATGTGTGAGCTACTGTGTCCAAATAATTTCCCACGTGGATCAATAAAGTCTATTTAAATCTAAGTCTAATGATTACATTTGTAAAGATCAAACTGGCCGAATATTAAGTGACACAAACATGTTTTTTCCATGTTTGTTCCAAGTTTCTCAAATGTGCACTTTCTTCATGCATTGTTAATGATTCCACAACAAGTTTCATAGATGCACTGACTATTTTAAACTACTACATTCAAACATTCTTACATCCAATTTGAAAAGAGATTTGGTTTGGATAGGAGGTTGAGTAGATAATGCTATGACAAATATAGTATTAATAGGCCTGTCATAAATACAGGAAGCAACTTGACAGTTGCATTACTGTGAGCCATTAGAGCTGCACAATTTGTATTATTTCCAGGAGGTTGATTTTTCACAGATACTGATCCGGCCCCTGTTACCATGACATCTATTGTGTATTATAACATACTACCACCACTATTTGAGTGCAAATTACAACCATATACCAAAAGAAGCATTTTATTTCTATTTCTGCATCTGGAATCGCTCCAACTGAGCTGCCTGCGGCATGGTGGTATGGCCATGGCCTGGTTGTGAGGTTTCGATTGTGTGGGAGACGAGGAATCTTCTCCATGGTTCACTGCTGACCCTATAGGCCACATCACAACGGGCCTGCCTGCCAGCCTTGACACCAGGAAACACGAAAATCACTCAAACAATTACACACATTCAAGAAACATCCTTCTGTTGCGGAAGGATAGTGTCTGTTAGCATTTCCAACTGCTTCTGATTATGTATTCAATTAGTTTGGCAATGTATGGAAAAAGCCCATGTAAAGAGTGTAAGGCTGCAAGACAAGTTTGATGATAATGGGTCTTTGATATTATTTTAAGAAAGTCTCACAAATACTCAGGACTCAACTCAAAAAAGGTGTAAATGAAAGATACAGGGGGAAAAGAAAAAAATCATATTATTCATATTAGAAAAATGCAAAAAATGCATTTTGCATTATAGGCTCAGTCCCTTTCTATCAGCTCATCAAAACCACGAGGCGACATGTGCTTTGTCCCACGCAACACACATTTTCTCACCATACGCAGGATATTTCCAATGAACAAAAGTATTCACTTCATCCCCCAAAAGCCAAATGAGAACGCTTTTTATTAGAGCATCCTTTTGTACTTGTCCTCCATCTACCTCTCATTCCAGAGAAAGCGTGGCCATATGCACAGCACATTTGCCTACTATAATTATGGTGATTTCTTCCTTGGTTTAACCAAAGTGCCGAAGGCTGGAAGTACTTTCAGGTTTTGTACCAGTTGCCAAGCTGCTTCTGTTTAAGACTAATCAAGATAATAAATCAGGCCTAATCATTTTGTAGATATGACAGATGCACAATAAACATGTTGATGCTGTGATCAGGACTGAATCAGACTCTGTGCATGCAAGACTTTCTAAAAGCACATTTTGTACAAATATGGCAGATTTTTCACTATACCTCATGCTGAAAGTATGCTTGGGTCTTAGGAACTGGGCAGTGATGGCATAGGAAAAGGCCAAACATATCACTCAATCAGTATAGGGGAGGCCTGTCTTAAGGCAGTGACCACGTAATAACCTTATTTTTCATGCTTGAGATGTTGGGCAAAGCCATGGATACTAGCATGTCCAAAACAGTCCAGTTAAGATGTAATGTAACCTTTCAATACTAGAGCCAGCATTATTTATGGGTAAATTAACCAGATGAAATAAGGAACATTCACTTGCTTGAGCTAAAGTCTTGCCGCCAAGGGTCAAATGCATCCCATAATATGAGCACGGTTGGTTAACATCACCTGATGAGTCAATGATGCCACTGAGTGAAAACAAAGGCATTAAAATCTCAAACTAGGATTTAATAGTGGTTTTATATAGAGTTGGTTTAATTTTATTTTCCACAGGTAAAAGACAGCAGCTGTTGGTAGAAAAAGAAAAACTGCCGTTATTATTTCTTTCACCTGGCAGGAGAGGGTGCATGCGTGTAAAAATGTATGGAGTATAGCTCAAGTCTCCCGAGGCCAGTAGATGAGTCAGCAGCAGCAGTAGAGGCACAGCTGAAAGAGAAGGGTGTACAATAGACACACACACACTTGCACACACACACACGCAGAGGGGTGGGGGCCCAGGCCAGATGAAGTCTTGGCAGGTGTCAGCACTCAAGTTTTACCGTGTTTTCATGGGCATGGCTTCACACACAAATGAGCTGGCTACTAGAGGCAGTGCTGAGAGCCGGGAACTGCGAGCTGACGAGGACCATAGCATTAAGGAGAGGCCACAAACAGACAGGGTATAGGCCCCTACTCAGAGTTTACATCAACCCGAAAGGCAGTGTGTTTTATGGCTCTGGCATTGCACCAACATTTTTCTCATAAAAACCCTCCATTTTGTTGTGAATTTGTTTAGCTGATACTCCATCTGGGAAAGAAAAGACTTTTAGCACAACCTATAACTATTTATATATTTTCTTATGATTTTGTGTAGATTTATGACTCCTTTGGTTGTAATATGTTCTCCATGTGCTAGATGATCAACAGGAGGACGGTTAATTTTTTAAAGCAGTTTTAGTTGTAATAGAGCTGTAACCACCATTCCATTATGCAATTTAGTGACTGACAAGTACCAACAACTGAATTTTAATTTATGTGATCTTTATGGACATTAAAAGCCTATATGTTGTAAGAGAGTTTATTTTCAATTTGAAAGAATTACTGCACCTGTTGCCAGCTTTTCAAAGCTGTGTCCACTGTGTGAATGGCATATTGGCTGATTCTGAAAAAGACTGGGTCCACAAACACATTTGCGTCTAACATGGTGGACTGAGGACAGCATGTAGCAGTGGCCTGACCCTGAAACAAAAAGGAAATACCTATGAGAAATATACAGTATATTCAGCTAAAACTTATTGAAGAAATCAATCAATTATCAACATACCAAAATACCCAAAAAACACATGGATGAAGACAGCATACCTGTAGCAGACAGGGCTGTAGAAGCTGAAGTTGTGTTAGATTCCGGTACTCTAAAAGCTTGCATTCCAATTGTGTGGAAAAGTTGAACTCTTGACAGTAGCGGGGCCCATTGCTCCACTGACGTAAAAGGACCCGTGGCTCCCGGGCACTGGTAACCATGAACTCCTGCTCCTGAGGCAACTTCCTGTCTGGCAGGAAGGGGTGGAGTCTATGTGGGGGAACTGTAGAAGGGAGAAATAAAATGAATGCACAGGTATTAACTGACTCTTATACTCCTAAAGCTCAACTCAAGTCTTGATATAATCTCACGGGATGTGTACCCAACATAGACTTTAGCATTACTGATAAGTGAATATGTTGTTTGCTATCTAAGACAAATGGCAAACAAAAAAAACTATTTGCTATCTAACAGCAGAGCCTAATGTCAAGATAGTACAGTCTCAGTGTTTAATCCAGTTTAGAGGGCCCATATTACAATATTTTTTTATCTATGTTATAATGTTGTTTCCTTATGACAAACATACCAGGAGATGTGTTTTGTTTCATTTATAAATGTTTAACACTCAAGCCCTACATATTTAGGCTGAGTTCTTCTCTTAGACAGAAAACACTGTGGGCCACCTTCTGATGTCATGTGGTAATACAGGAATTGCTCTGCTCCAGTGTGTGTAAACTCCATACACTTCACTAGAATCATTTGGATTATTTCATCCCTGGAATTGCCCATCTCTACTGAACAAACGGTAAAAGGTAACTGCAATTTTGAATTATAAAACCTTTTCTATTTCCTAGACAGGAAAAGAACAATACAACAACAAGATATCTTTGTATCTACATTATCTGCATTTTTTTTTTTTTTTTTTGGTCAGCTGAAGTTATTTTTGAAATAGTACATGTACACATCATAGGAGCAGCTTCATACCTGTGCCCAGCTGCTCTAGGTGATGACAGAGGTGCATTTCCATTTGAGCCAGTTTTAGAGACACCCCGAGTGAAGGGACAAACCATGGAGCGAAGCAGGAGTCCACACGAGTGCAGGCGGCCAGGGCCGTGGGAGAGACTAGCTGATCACAGTGAAGCACTGAGCCACAGTCACTGTCCAAACTGCAAGGAAACAAACCAGGGGAAATTAACATCTGAGAAAAAGATTTAAAATTGCTGCTTACAATTACAAGTGCAAATTATAATCATAAATTCCTAACAGTCATGATAATAATAAAAAAGACAACAACAGACAATAAGGCATATTCCCTTGAGGCCTCCACAGTTTTGCTCCCACAGTTCCCAGAGCCTCTCGATGGACATTAATTGTATGTCATGGTTGATGATGTTGAATGGAAGGTAATTGAAGTGAATGACCATTTGCTCTGTAATTTGCTGCTACCATGATCCACCATAAAACTCCAGCAGGAAACGCTCACGACCTGAAAACGCTGGTGCGGCACTGCGGTCCTTAAAAAGATAAGCATCATATGTTGACAATTTTCATTACTTCTAGTTGGCAGGAGAGCCAAGTTATTTTTCTGGTGGAAATTCAAGTATGGGAGATGAAACGAGTCAGTAAGGAAAAGCCAATCATTTCTGATCAAAAAAGACAAATAATTTAAACATAAAGGAAATGTAGTGTTTGGAGTATGATTGTAATGAAATGCAGATGTATATTTAGCTTCACACAGTATATGGTACTGACTTTTTTTTTTCCTGAAAAAAGTTTTTATATGCCTTCTCCTCTGAGGTCTTAGCCACACAGGCTGAGAAATTGGCTTGGAATATTCATTCAGCATTTAGTGGAATTTTCATCCCCAAAATGTTTCTTAATGCCTGGGAGATTAAAAAATGAGTTTGAAAGAAATGCATTACATTATTTGTATTGTTAAATTTTTTCATTAGCAGGTGAAATGATTCAAATTCAGTATGTTTATAGATGTCGAAAAGCCTATACTAAGCAACGGCACCTTGACCACTGCAGCCTCAGAACTCAGCTGGGACACTGTGAAGTCTTTTTTGAGTGGTTGTGTTTTAAAATGGTCAGGAGTGTTCTAAGCAAAGACAAAAGTGAGGAGCAGCTCAGTGACCACAGGCAGATCTCTTAATCTGACACAGAAGGGGAGCAGTGCAAAGCTGGAGACGTGTTTCAAATGTTGTGTGCTGGTGACCAAAGCAGTTCCAAAACCACTGACTATTTTCCATTTAGTAGGATTCTATTATTATCTACTATGTTAAATTTTTACTATTTACTGTTGGTCAGTCGTGTTGCTCTCAATACTAGTTGATGTAGCCAGCATAAGAGATGATGATTGATAGAAGTGGTCATGAGGTGAGAGGAGAGTATGTGGGCTAAAACCCATCCCAGCCCAACCCAGTCCAGGCCAGGCCTAGGAACGTATGAAGCAACCCAAAGGGGGTTTTACTCTCGGAGCTTCCCCCGATTAGATACACTCAAGGTAAGCAGGAAGGAATCCGGATGGGCCCTGACAGGCACTTGGTGTGCTGGGAAATCTCATTAGGCCGATCTGAACGCCTTCCAAGCCCGCTCCCAGCTCCTGCACTCCAGATGTGGGGCGAGGGACAGCGCTGGCTCTTTGTATGGAGCCTGGGTGCAGGCTCTGTTTTCCCTCACACCGGGCGCCACTGTTACTGTTGGTCCATGCACACTCCACAGAGCAGGGTAAAGTATTCACTAACATGCACACACGTAAAGACAAATACGTGGAGCGAAAAGAGGAGATGTGCTAACCTCTGCTCGTCTCCGCCCTCTCCGTTGTTATTGAGAACGATCCTCCACAAGTCTGAGGCCACCAGCTCCTTCTGCTGTTCCGTCAGGCTCAGACTGGGCAAGTGCAGCTGGCAGGGACTGCTTTCAGAAAGACTGAACTCCCGATAAGGCACAAAGGCCTGCTGCAGCTCATCCCAATACTCTAGGCTGCATGGCACCTGAAATACACAGTAAAATACCACTTAGCTTAATATACAAATTATGTACAATGAGGACATGTAGTATCGAATATTTGCTGTCAGATGGAGTAAATCACATACTGCCACTCCTCTTTGCCTCTCTTTGAACTTCATCCACTTAATCATTATATTCCCCACAATAGCCTCTTTTTGAGACAGACTACTGGATCAGCTACTACTATGTCCCTTGTTGATCCATCGGTCCAACAGTGATCTATGTGAGTATTCAAAAAAACAGTAACACATTGTACTGTACTTCTTTAGATGCTGCTCCCAGAGTTATGCATAATAATTACCCATCTGTAGTGGCCTGCAAGTCATCAGATGTGACATAATAGTGACCTTTTAGACAAGTAGAAGAAATGATGAGGTGATTTTTATAGTGTCTGCATTACAGCCTTGACTCGTATGTGTGTGTGAGACAACCAATCTTTCTCATCTACTTAAAGAAACTTTCACCGCAGACCACCAAAGCAGTGAGACAAGTCACTATGTGACCACAGCCTGCAGCTCATAGGCCACTGTATGCTGCAGACGGCCATTAGCACAAGTCCTCAAGCTGTTCCTCACACTGAATTACAATCACATTGGGTGAGAGTTCTCACATTATGGTGTGGGTCCAGCCGTGTGCTCACTTTTGGCTAAAATCTGCATATCGTGCGTAGCTATAAACTGGATAAGGCTCTAGTTTGACCACCTGCTTATAACTGGACCTCTGATGGATCGAAAGTGGCAGAGCTCTGAGCTCCACACCTGCACCATGCCAAGCCTTAATGCACAGCCTGGGGCACAGGCTCTTTATCGGGGAAAGTTTGTTCACACAGACTGTATGGGTCAACCAGCTCTTTAAAATCTCCAGCCCTCCAAAGACAATTACCAACCAGAGTAGAGTTGTCATCACTTTGCTCTGTGTGAATTAGTAAGAGGACTGGGTGCAGTGAAAGTATGGATATGTTTTTTCATTTGTTCTACTATGAGGGAGCAGTGGGTGAGGTAAGCATAGCTTACATCATGTTCTAAATGCCACACAGGTTTTCCTGGAATCAATTTCTTCTAATTGTACCTGACAGAGTTGTGCACCCGCAGCCCCAGTACTAAGCCACTGGAGCGGAAACTCACTGGGCTCCACTGAGAGTTCCCAGAGCAGAGCTGCTAACACAGAGGCAGTCTTTTTTCACCTGTGATACTCTATCCACATGACGCCATTACAAATGAGGATGTAAGGAACCTATATGTACACTTCAAGACATTTGCATGGCTGCATGTGCGTCATGCTTGCATCTCCCGTACAAGGGCTCGGCCTTGGAGAAGAGTGGAGATGCACCGATAAAATCAGAAGAAAAATGGAAAACTTGAGTTTGTTACAGCTGGCACTAGTCTCTGTGAGGAACAGACACCTGTATATGCCATATGGAGACTATAGTGTACAGGAGAATGTATAATTGCTTGTATGAAAGACAATCTGCCTATATAAATGTATACACAGGTGTACATAAGCTTGTATAGAACAGAGTCCAACTCGCAGTTTCCGCCGCCTGATTATGTGTACCTTATCTGATAAACAACCTGTAACCCTGAATAGCTGACATTCCCTCAGCTGGATGGCTCCAATCTCTGCTCCCCATAGTAACTATGCATAGAACTCATGAGCTCACAGCTGTATTTCTATCTAAGTTTTTCTAAATTCTAAATAGCCTAATACAATATTTGATAAAATATTACTACGATAAAATGTGACCGGTTTTGTAGATTCAATTTGCCACAAAGAATGCTATAACATAAGAATATATATTTCATCCTCTAGAAGTGAATATTAATCGTATGTAATATATGTAATATATATTAATCCCGTAGATCTACAGGTGATGATAAGAATATGTTTGTGGATGTCATTAAGAGTATGATTGGTCACTAGCGAACTGAACTGACATCAGTTTGAGCAAATGAGAGGGGGTGACGATTTTTGGTGGATGAGGTCTAAAAAGTTCATATCAAATTAGGGCAATTTATTTTTACACTGCATTAGCTGTGATTGAGCTTAGCTGAGTGCAGGCTAACTAAAATAATTGTTATCTTGGCCAAAATGGACTCCATTGCTGGTTTCTTATGTGAAACAACCGATTTCACGTTCAAAACAAAAGCCTGCTTTTTAACTAATTTACCAAAAGAGAATGTCAGAACTTTATATTTCCAGTGGGAAGCTGATGCTAATGGCTAATAGCAACAATAGAAAAACAACAGCTGTTGCAGTGGTGGATGTGGCTAAAGGTTGGGCTGGTTCATTGCGTTTCACAGAGTTTTAGTGATATCAGACGCAGCAGGCCAGGCGGGCCACTTGAAAGGGTGTCCCAAAGTGGCACACGCACATTGGGAACAGCAGGGGAGCAGATGGTGTGATATTGCTCTAAAGATCAAGGAAATTGCATTGGATAAAATGTGAGTTATTAAATGTAATAAGAATGACTTTGGAATAGATTTGTAAAATTGCTAAAGTCAGCAGTTTAGTGAGAGGATCAATTTGGAAAACGTGGCTAAAATTGCCACATGACCCATAGTTTGTGATAAAGTAGCTCTGAACTTCGTAGACTATGTATAAAGAGGGCATGATTTGGAAAAATACAGTTGTTGCCGCCATAGAGTGTATATATGGGTGCGCTTCCGTTTCCACCATTTTGGTCTTAAAATGTTTGTATTAACCCGCACAAGATGATAAATTTTTAAAATTTTGTTGAATTGTCCGTAAATAAAAATATGAACATTAATAACAATCAAATTAGGGACTTATTTAACCAAGGTTGCTCCCACCAATGTTAGCAGCAGGTTTGATTAACAGCTAGCATTGCTAAGAGCCCGCTTCCTACCAAACCAGCCATTATCTTCGACCATCTTGCTCTAGATTGGCTCTTTGATTGCTAAGAAACTTGCAGTGGAAATTCCAAATTGGGAAGTCAGCTCCAAATTCACCTCAAACACCTGCTAGCCCTGATGAGCTTCATTTAGATGAAGGCGAGTGCTATGTGCGACGTTCCCTTAGTCCACTTCTTTATACAGTCTGTGGTCGTTACATAGATTAACCAAACTGTAACTACTAAGCTAGTAAAACAATTTTCAAATAATTGGCCATGTAGGGTAAGTTGTCCTCTATATTTTACACATCCTTTGTTGTCATTGGGAGAACATGTCCCTATGTTTAGGGGTGTTTTGCTTACCAAGCTTATATAATTATATAATTTTGTCATTAAAATAACACGAAGAACAAATTTTATTTCACAGCTGTTTTTTTAATGGATGTAAGTGGCCTTTTGAGTGTGTAGCCGAACCAAGCCAAACCTATTTAAAAACTGTTGGGAATGGTGTAATGAGCCTTGTCAGTCATTGCTATAAAATGTGATGCAGTAGAAATAATATGACATCTGATTTGTCTGCAATACATTTCAAAATCCATAGCAATAGGTTACACATGCTTTGTTGGAAAATTGTGTTTGAAATAAAGACAATGAGACAATTCCCTGCATTTGAACATAGCACATCTCGTCTTTCTCCCCTGAGCTGAGGTCAAGTTAAAGTATAGCTCCTGTGTTTACTTCTGGTTTCTCTGGCTGCAGAACCCCACAGCGGCAAAGCAGGAGAAGACAAATGAGAAAAGATGGAAAAAGCTATTGGACACCTGCTTATGATTCAGAAACTGGGACCACACGGTGCTGGGAAGGTGGGAATGACTCACCTTCTTCTCCTACTCTACATATCTGCTTTCATCACCGAGGCCCTCTACAGGTGGGAACCGGTGAATGCTTCATTACAAATGTCCATGTTATTCTCTGCAACCCTGCACAACCGTATGTAAAAACAGCACGGCCAGCAATTTGATTTTGAGTAATGAAGCAAGGATCGTGTTCCCCTTCAGAGATACTGGAACCAGCTTGGAAAACCACAACTATTTAAATGCAGGAAATCTTGATTTTATAAAATGTTAATATGATCTGCCTCTGGGACAAGAGTAAGCGGCATGGCTGAGAGCAAGAGCCCCCTGTCCGACCCCACCTATTCATGTGTACAGCAGGGTGGAGACTGTGTGACAAAATTAGACTGAAAGTGAGCTGGGTGAAACAGTGGAATAAGTAGATCGCCTTGTTTTGGTAGCCCTGACATCAGCCATTTGAATGCCAAAATTTCAAATACTTCAAAACAGAAATGGATCCAGAAGAAACAAAAATAATGAATTTACTTTTGTTGCATGCATGTCAATATGATAAAACATGGGTAATCAACAGCATTTAAATGATTCAATCCACCTACGTGTTCATTTTTAGCCCCAAGACACTTGATTAGTATATGTACAGTTAGCACACTTGCTTCAAAATATTTCCCAAGCTAGACAACTAATCTACTCTGTGTAGAGTCCACATATTCTTCCCCATGGGTTGTCTCACAGTTTCCCTTGTTCCATTATCCAATATTAGTGGATGCAGAGGGCTTGTCTGCCAAAAATAAACCAAGCAATTTATTATAAATGTTCAGATCCACAGAAGCCAGAAAAATATTGAATGGTATTTTGAAATAAAAAAGAACATAATTTAGACATGTAGCTCTGTAAATTTATCTGCCCTGCAGTGTGTGTGGTATGTGAAGACTTAATGTGTAAAGTACAAACACTAGTACTACTGCAATAAGTGAGGGCAGTGACAGGACATGGGGAGGCCCACACTTTTGTCCTTATTTCTTTTTCTTTCCCTTGCGCCTCTCACTTCCCATTTCTCAAAATCTATCAGCCTCCATCTCTGCGCGGCCACATGGTAATTTTAGAGCCCTGAGAAATTATGACTGCTTTCTTTCTCTCTCTCGACATGTAAAGCAAATGAAATTCCTCTGGAACACAAGCAAAGCCATTCCATTACTTTAATTTGTAGGGCAGCATTTCCGATCTCTGTAGCTGGGATTTCTCTCTGGTCTGGGGAGAAATAAAAATGAATTAATGAAGACTTTTATGTTTTGAATAAAAGGAACTTTTAGTTAGAGTTTGCCAGGAACTGAAATCCCTTATTTCCCAGATCAAACATTGGCTAAATGCCAACTTAACTCCTCTGTGTACATACAACAGGCTCATGAGAGGAACTATACACAGCAAGAGGTAAGCACGACTGATTTAGAATCATATTTGTATTATGAACAGTTCTTCTCACCAGCACTCACAGGTGGCCAGTTCATAGTTTGGGCCTGAAGAAAGGTACTGCATTTGGGATAATAGACTTGAGATCATTTCCATCATAAGTGGAAGAAGGCCCAATAGAACGTGCAAACCTTGCACAGCAAGATTAATTCCTGTGATGTTTGTGAGTTCGTGATCATAGGGCTGTGGTTTAGGCGGGAGCCAAAGACCAAAACAAACATGCTGCAGATGGACATACTTCAGTCTATTTTAGCAGAAATATGGTAACTTTAATTGTGAATTTGTGGACAGAAAAGATTTGCATTTCTGTCAACTGGATTTAATAAAAGGTTTGATTTCTTGGCTTGTTCTGCTGTTGGGATGCTTGCTTTATCAGCGTGAAATACTCGTCTGAAAGGTTAGTCTTTCCCTGATCACGTTCAGGGAACTAGAATCAAGAGCACTATATCAATGTGGCTTCTGTTCAAGGAAATCTCCACATACAGATTTTGGGCTTGATGTATAATAGTAGCTGCAAAGACTCCACTATGCATAACATTCCATTATTATTACAGTAATAATGGTAATCTAGTTTACAGGACATTTTTAATCTCCTTTGCACTTGTTTTTCAAGGATCCTGGTATAAGATTGATACGGAGTCCACTGTAAACAATGTAAAACCTTTTTTTTTTAATCACAGAAATTAATAGTGGGGCAGTTTAGACCAGTCTGTCCGACAGACTCGTCTCCCCCTGTGGTTTGAGAGTCTCTTCTTTTCAGTCCCTCTCTGTGGACACCTCACCACCAGGGTCCCTTTGACAGATTTGACAGAGCAGAGCTAGAGAAAATGATAGTGGACTGAAGATGTGCAAAGCACATGTTCATCTGCTATAAGCCCTGTATCTCCTGCTGCTCTAAACGCTCACAGAGGAGACCAGGCACTGAGCTCCACTTGACAATGTGTATAGCTCATCTATTCAGTTTTTTTCTGGGGAACACCTTGTATATTTATGATCTTCTGATACCTTGACATACCAGCATGTTCAAGTCATCAACCCAACCCAAGTCATGTTCATTTGCTTCTACAGTTACTAAAGCAATGCAAATACCTTTTCCCATACATAGTTCTGGCCACTCATATCGGGGCCTCATTCAAAATACACATATGTTAATTACTGAGGCAGAACTCACACCCACATCCAAAGCTGCTACTATTTCCCAACTATTTTCACCGCATTGTCATGTGCCTCGTACATCAGGGTCTGGAGTGTTGCTCACACAATAACAAACTGGACGTGCTCTTGCACTGACCGCTCGTTTCATCAGCTGCAGCTCACCCCTCCCTGTCCCGGCCTGGAGACGGGATATTTTCACACAGCGGCTGTGAGCATCGCTGAAGACACTACCTCCCTGAGCGACTATCCATCTTCATCTCCACAGACCCTCCTCCCTTTTCCTGCTCCACTCTTCTGTCAATCGAACCCCATTAACTCTCCTCTTCTCATTCCCGTCTATTACACAGAGTCGTCTTCTACCATCAGTCTTAGTGTAACTTAATATGAGGACAATCAGCCCAGGGCTTAGAGGTGTGCTAGTTACTGACTTTACAGCCGGGAGGGTGCACTGGGAAGTCGGACATCTGCAGCACCTTGTAATATTTTGGCCAATCTCAGATTCAGCACAGACAAAATGAAGGAAACATCTATAATAGAAAGAAATGTAATAGCAGGGAGTTGGAGGATGAACTTCTAACAAAAGGAAGATAGAGGACCTGAGTGAAAATGTGCAAATACTAAAAAAGAGCACTTAACAGCTTAATAACTCCACCCTATAAATTATGATACAAATTAACCCAACAACATTATACTGTAATATATTCTTGTCTTGTTTTTTTAAACATAGACATTTTTATTGTTGATAAAATGAGGTAAATGTAAATGATTAACTTAAAAGCACTAGGCCCAAAATGATAAAATCTCACTATTCTAGGTATTTTTCTCAATCATCTTGTGCCTTGTTTAAATTGTAACCATCATCAGTTTGGGTCTGGAGCTAATTGTCCAGAAATATCTTACATTCCAATTCCTGCATTTGTAAGTATTATTATGTAATTTCGAGCAAACAAAGGTGTTAACTATTAGTCTTATTTTAGTCGGACAGACCCCAAAATAATTTTAACACATGTTTACCGCACCCGAAAAGTATTTTTCATGTAAGTAAAAATGTGTGGGAAGCCTCTCTCAAACTGGAACGAGAAGCAGGCAGCCGACAGACAAGAGGATAAGTGATAGATGGAAAAGTGGGATGTCTTGTCTCCCACTGAGACCCTGTAGACTCAGTAGCTGCTGCTGGCTGCCAAAATATAACCTCATCTGGGCCTGGACACACCTGGCCCTTCACACCACAGAGAGAGCAGAGCAGAGATGGCTTCCCCAGCTGTCCGAGCATGTATTACATGTTTGGTGGGACAGCAGGGGTCTGTGTCATTCAATAACATGGAGGGTATGGGAGTTCTCATGACTCATATACTGGGGAATCATAAAGGCACACAACCCTTCTCACAGACACTTTATTTCTCTATGGGTACAGGTGATGTTAAGCAGAGACCAGTGCGTGTTATGTGAGGATCCTACTTTTATTGTAGAACTGTTCAAATGTCCACCCAGTGTCGGACATCAGAGCTTTATGTGGTAGCATGTTACCTTTTATGTTTTTAAGAGATTTTTTTTTTATAGCGATAAGGATATACAAGAAAGTATGTGCAATGTAGATGGGGAAACACTGAAGATCAAATCTGTTTAAAAAAACGACAATGTAGTAGTGTAGATTTTTTTTTAAGTTTTATGTTTTGTGATCTATAGGCAAAGAGCATATTATGTGCTTAGCCAGTGGTATTGCATTTTATCTAGCATCAGTGCAGGGATGATTTTAAAGCTTTCATTCTTTAGCTCTTGAGCCACGGTGAATCCCTGACTTGCTTCATATCCAAGTTCACTACATGCACAGATCTCTTCTTTGGCGTTTGTCTTAAACTCATAGCAAACCTTGTTTATATCCTTGTGTTCAAAGTGCTTTATCTATATTTAAATAAAAATGCAAAAGCTGTTCCTCCCTCCTTAATGCTATACCTCCAGCAATAAGTTTTTGTGCACACATTAATTGCAAAAACTTGAAGGTGTTGTACCTGAAAACATGAAAAAACAGAATTGCATTCAAAGCATTCTAATTATTCAGTGTGATAATTTGCTTTACACAACTCTCAGAGACCAGTGCCGAGTTTTATTGTGACAGTAAACCTAACAAAAACAAGCATGAAAACACACACGCAATCTCGTCTTTTATCTTAGCTCTAGCCTAGTGTTTCTCAAAGCTTCTCTATATTTCTGTTAGAACTACACCAGCAAAGATGTAGTCCACTTTTAGAATCAATCCAGCCCTAGACCAGACCTGAAATAGAAATAATGTAGACCTGGTTTAGATCTTGTAGTGCTTGGAATGCCATATCCTTTCTTTGTTGGTAGTTGGTGTGAAAAATTTGAGAAACACCACTTTAGCCCAATAGAACCTAGAGAAAATGCTCTAAAACAATATGGTTGCCGCACCTGTGCTTTTAAAACTTTAGGGTAAATGTGTGTGTGATCTCGTACCTGCAGGACATCCCCCAGGTCTGCGGTGCTGATTTCAGGGTCTTCTGTGGTGTTGAATGGGACTGGGGTAATTCTCACAAAGGTTAGGACACGGGGCTCAGGGTACCTCCACAGCATTACCCCAGGACAGTCTTCAGTTTCACAATAAAACACAACCTCATGGGGACCAGGCTGCCGCTGCAAAGCTGCAATAGCATAGAGGGCGTCATAATCAGAATAAATGAGATTTCATCCAGCAGAGGCTTATTTATGTTTTGTCATAAAAACATTGGTGAGGAAAAAATATTACAGAATAAAAGTGATAGAAGAATGTTTCAACTGGATTTGAATTGAGGTTGACAAAGTATATTTTTATCGTCGAGCAGTTTTCTGTACTAAAATAGCAACGGCTAAGATTTCAACACGAAAAGCTGTTGAACAGATTAACACGCCACTGGGAACGCTTTCAAAAATGTGTTGAAGTAAAAAACATTAAGGGGTGCAGAAAAAGATGAGAAATGCAGTATAATGTTGCAGGTGATGTGTAATTAGTAAATTCACCTTTTGGAGTTGTAAGTCCTACATTAAAGTCCAGTGTGGCTATGCTAATAATGATTATTTTTACTGTGGTGTGTGAGCTGTGTGCAGAGAAAGAATGCTGTATAAGTTTCCATGCTTCAGTCTGTTTATATGTGTGTATAAACAGAGGGCCTGAGTAAACATTTTCAATATTGGATAAACAGTCATTGATTGAACCATGCCAAGCACCTGCAAAAAGTGGATCTCACTGGACCAAACGTCTGAGTGGTGTTTGACTTAAGTCGTGGCTGCTGTTTGGGATTCAAGTCCTTTGGAAAAATGTTTATTTGAAAAAAACAGTGAGGCAGAGAACTGCTTGTTTGGCCCCTGGGGTACCTGGACATAAATACATGGCCTTCAATGCTGAAAACACATTTCAAGGGCTTGTGAAATCTGTCTGTGGTTCATTTGTCCTTTGTGTCAGTGGTGAAAAGCTCACTCCTAAGTGGACAGTATTGTTCTAAAGAAAAACAAAATAAACAGAAATGTGTGTGTTTTTGTGGATTGATCTTTCCTTCTTTCTCCCATCTCTCTTTGAGTCCCTGTGCTGGCCGCAGGAGGACTGTCTGGTCTATACGCCAGAACCACTTTTGTGTACTGCTGACAACATGTTGCAGGCAGATTGTCCCCTGGTCCGTGTTCACTACTGTATGCTCTCCTGCGTTGGCCAGCATATTAAATGCATCAAAGAGCAGGGGAACAGTGCAACAAACAAATCGTGAACCACAGCTGACAGAGTGGACGGCTGGTGTGCCGCCAGAGCAGTTTGATCCCTGTGTTTGTGTGCCCAAAGACACACTCACAGCACTGAGGGAATAAACAGTGTTCTGTGAGTGGAGCCAGGCAGGCCGCTCTGATGAAACCCGCTGCTCTAAGACTTTGATCCACTCTGATTTAAAGGGATGTGTATCTTACTGTGACATCTCACTTGGCACCACTTCTCTATTCAAGGTACTTTAAACATGCTCATATAATTTTATGAATGGTTGACTATTCCTGTTCATCTAATAGATTTACAGTGCCCCATCTGCTAAACAACCTTATCATGGAACAAGTAAAAATACAGTCTAAGTAAATGAGCCAAGACCTGAATAATGCTCTTAAAGAAAATTTTGAACTGTTTAGAATTGGAGCGATGAATGCCAGGCTGTAAGTGAAAAATGATGGTCATTAAATGAAGACAGAGGCTACTGCTTCATATGCAGTAATCTTGTGAGGAAATGAAAGGCTCCACTAAGCAAACATGCCACTTGAAACAGCAGCTCTGTAAGCAAAGCATTACCAGACGACCACTGTTTTATCTGCTCTGCATCAGCCTGTCCGGTATGAGCCATCACCTGAGTCCTGGATGTACTGGAAGTGTCCTGTACGCAGGTCGTCCGAGCTGTGTTCAGTGCGAGGAGAGGGGGATGCGGGGGAAGCAGGGGGCTGTGTGTGACAGGCAGGTCCCAAACATGGCTCTGCTGTCTCCCCTCTGTCTAACTGAAGGTATGAGCGCAGGTGCTCCTCTATGAGCTTCAGGCAGTTCAGATGCTCCTGGCCCCAAAACATCTGGAAAACACACAAGGAAAAAATATAACATGGTACCACTTGACCTAATAAAGTATGAACAAAGTTTTAATTCATAATGAACAAACATTTTAAGAATAATCCATGCTTATAAATTAATTAAGTATTAATTAAGTTACTGAGCCAGAATCAGTGTTACTGATACAGCAAAAGTACAGCACTAATCCTTTGATGACATATTTAATTAACTTCTTCTGTGAATTAGAAGAGGTTGAATTGAAACACAGAGCAAATCTATTATGAAATCTTTCCTGTGGCAATGTGATCCCTGATTAACATCTCATAAATGCATTTTACACAATATTTATTTTTTACTGTTCAAATATATTTTTACGGGATTTAGACTAACCCATCACGGAGCAGTATAAACTCAAAATGACCTATGTTAATCCCTAGCAAAAGCAGATAATAAAAAAACAAACAAAAAAACAAATAACATCAAAACCATTTAGAAAAAAACAAGGGATCAATTAAAGCCCATCTGACGACTTGCTTTGGAGAAAACAGGAAATGCAGTAGTCAGCGTTAACCCGACCATCACCCCTCGCATTACCCAACACAACCTTACATCCTGCACTTACCCGCGGCATTCCCCTTCCCCTGCCATCAAAGCAGCTCTGCCTGGGGTTTGGACCAAAAACCAGGAATCTCTGAGTCAAAAACGCTTCACACATGGAGCTGCCTGCCGCTAGTGCTCAGTCGTTTTCAAGGCTGGCTTATGACTAAACGTTCAAAACAGGAAAATTTGGGGATTTTTTTTTTTTTGCAGGCGCTTAGAGAGTGAGCACGAGAGGAAGAAGTCGGAAGGAATCCTGGTGGTTTTTATACAGCACTTGATTAAAACACCACAAATGCCAATATTTGCAGAGGGAAATGCATGATTGCGTATTAAGTGCTGAGTTGCGAGTGATGTTTTATTAAATGGGCACGCAATAAAAGCATTAAAGGCCAGCTAAAGTGGGGGAGGGAGAGGGGCTTCCCCGTAGAGAGGTAATGTGGAAGAACGCATTAGTAATAATATCTCCACTTAGTCACAACGAAGAGGGGACTTTTGGTCATATTATGTAACTAATGAGGAAAATTTCACATAAGATACAAGCACCTAAAATATCTTAATATAATTCAGTAAATTTAGCAGATGAGATGTGATGAAGTGAAATAACAAAATCCAGGTTTTAGTGTCAGCTCTATAATTGCAGGGAGCCAGTGCCAGGGTGCAATTTGAAGAAAATATCAATTTATATAATAAGAAGTAGGTGTGTGTGCCAGCATACTAATGTAGAGAAGTAAGCTAAGTGAAGTTTAGCTGGGGAAACACTGGCTCATAATGCGATGCTGTTCTCATAGAAGACAGCGTGGAAGATTCATGCTCACGTCTTTGCTTCATACATCCTTGAACACAACCAGGTGCGGAGGTGATGATCTGACCCAGTGCTTCTCCCTGCCTGCTCTCCTTCATAAATCTTACAAGACTGGTGTGGATGCATGTGGGGGCTGCTCAAACCTGCAGTAGGCCCCCCCTCAGGTCCAGCAGGAGTTTGGGGGCTCCGGGCTCTGGTCCAGGGCTGCCGCTGTGCCGACACCAGCGCGCCTCCAGGGACGTCTGACAAGAGAAGGGTCCCAGCAGTACATGGACACGCTCACCAAGGCCTGTCTTCACCAGCAAGTCCTGCACCTCCAAAAGCACTGACGCAGCCTGGACTGGGTCTGCAATGGCAAATAAATACAGAAGAGTTTAACAATTAACAACTAAAAGAGGGAGTATTGCTAACACATTACATAGTTAACCATGTTACCTTTTATTGTTTTGAAAATGCTATATTCACCAAAGACAAAGTATTAACATATTTAATAAGTTTCATTTTTGAGTCCTGCATCCCCTTCTCCCCCTTTAGACACTCCCATACAGGGTGCTATCACAACACAATCGACATGCATTCCAAAAATGAAACTGCTGCACATTGCATCAGGTTTGTGCAGTTGTAGTGTATTGTTTTCTATCACTCTTTTGTATATTTATGGAAAATCATTGTGCAGGAGGATGGGTGACATAGGCTTGTAGGCTAAGCATTAGTCAAAAATCGTACTGCTAACCATAAGAAAGGTTCAAATAGGGCCAATGGGAGAAAGCTAGAGCTAAAACATGCATGGATAACATAAAACCTTTTGATGAGGGAACAATGTTATAACACGGTAGAAATCTCAAAAATGTCGATTTTAGGGCATAATATGCCTTCTTTGACGTTCACACACTAACCCACTATGCATGTTAACATAGCACAAGTTTACTACAGATCTTTTTACGAGGTAGCCATTGTGTCTCAGTCTTGATAGTCTGCTGTTTATTACATTGGTTTTGAAGGACGAAACTGAGCGTGCACTGATCACTGAAAAATAACACGTTTTATTTTTATTTTAGTTTTACTAAATCTTTTGACCCACTGATGCACTCCAGGATCAAGCAAAACACAAAAAGTCAAAATTGACTTTTTAAAGAAAAACATACCATCTGATTGTGAATGTATTTTATATTGGTGTGGGGATATGTATTGAGTGCAATCTGGTTTCTGACAAACAGCCCTAAGTATTTGAAGCCACAGTTTACAAGACTGTGGAGACAAACCACTTGAACCTATTGACCTCTTCAAAAAGCACAATGAAAGAATGAAAGAGTAAGCTATGGCTAAAATAAAACTTGAAAGATTTGGACTTATATATATAAACTACAATTATATCATTACGCCTGATTGATAATAGACACAATGCGCTGGAAATAGGTTGTGGATTGATAGAAAGAGTGCCATTTAATCCAAAAACAGGAGACGTTATTTAAAAATCAACACACCCCAAAATAGATTATAGATTCCTGCAATTATCAGTAAAAACTAACACTGTTAATTGATCCATATCACTGGGAGCCAGATGAAACTGAAGCCTATAAACAATCTAACCACAAAATTCAGTTGCATGAAAACTTCGCCTCTGGGTTTTGAACAGAATTCAACTTCAACAAACCGACTAATAACGAAGGAACAACACATAGAGTGCAATTAGAAGAACCACATCATTGGCCTCCATTGCTACCCCCCTCTGATGTTAATAGCATAAATGTGCAACATCCTGAATTTTAATTAAGACCCCATTTGACCTTTTTATCAAAAAAAAAAAAAAAAAAAAAAGTCATTTTCATTTAAACGGGGGTACTTTTTTCGTTGGTTCCTTTGATACCCTGTTGTAAATGGGTTTATTTATTTTGAAATGATACGGTGCAAATGTCTTGGGTTTTGAAAATACAGAAAAACAAAAATGTTTTATTTATTTTTTTTATATGGTTCAATTCAAGTACGTGTCACTTTGTAAAGTAAATGGTTGGCCAGACATACCAGCGTCTGACATGACAGTGGAGCCAAACACCCACTCATTTCAAGCACCCAAAAGAAGCTCAAACCAGTGTCATTAGGCTAGCACTTTGTGTCCATGTCATTTAGACTGAGATGTGTCACTATGGTCCCCAGCAAGCCAGAGGAAGGCCATTCTGTCCCATAAATCAGATCTGGAAATGCTGTCTGCTGGATGTTGACACAGTAATGGCTGATGGTCAGTTTAGCAGACAGCAGCAGAAGCTTGTTTAGAAACCTCAAGCTTGGATGACTAAGAGTGGATTCAAAATGTACTTCCAAAACTAACATTGGAGACACTGTGTGGTATTAAAGCATAGGATAATCATTTTGTAGAGTTTCTACTGTTGTGGTTTTACGAGGGGCACCCAGCTACAGTGTGGATGCAGCAAAGAAATGGGTTAAACGCACATTGATCAGGCACAACATCTTGAACCACTGCCTGTTCCTTAAAGAGCGACCTGCTTCTACTATTTCGCAGTGGAATAAAATCTAGCAGATAAAGATCAGGATGGCATTACATTGGGATTGGCTCGATAAAATGCATCATATCACGGTTAGTGAGAATTCTAATGCTAACTGCTGTCTCCGCGCAGTAACATCACTCCACATCGTGATGTTGTACACTCCATTTCAGTGCACTAAAACAGTATAACACAATGCTTCTCCTTGTTTAATCCTGACATATGCCACACATACAATAGGTGTGAGTGTTGCAACAAATTAAGCAAGAAAACATGTAGTAATATCATTAGCAGATGCAGTCAATATTGGTTTTCATATATGTACTACTTATCAAATTCTAATACTTAATACTGAACTCTGTCAACTCAATTGTACCTGTACTGAAAAGGAAGTAATTTTACCCCTATGTACAACCTTTTAGAACATTCTTTTCTTCTGAGGCAGGCAATTAAACCCAAATCCAAACTAGTATATTTCAAAAATTATAGGACAATCTTGATTTTAACATGAATATCAGGATGCCTGCGGTTGTGGTTCACTTGAGGTAAAGTTGCAGAAGACTGGGCTTAGGGACACATGGAAAGACATAAGCCCAAAATGCGGGGAGGACTTGATGAATGAGGAGTCGAATAGATACGGACAGAGTGGGAAGAGAGTGAAGGATGCAAATATGACAGTCACTGACATCATCTGCTGCCTTAATAAACTAACTGAGGATGTGTGTTATGGTGCTACAGAGCCCAATAACACAACAGGGGTTATCCAGTGGAAGTGTACCTCTTATTTTTTAGGTAACAATACACCAGGATGACTCATATCTCATAGGAAAAACACTATTGATACAAATTGGCACTTTGCTACTAATGTCTTTGGAGGGGACGTGCATAACCCACTGTGCTATGCATGGGGTTTATTTTCATGGTCACGATTTATTAGACAGCTCTTGGGAACTCCCCACCTGGCTGAGTAAACGGAGGATCTTTCATTCACACAAACACATTATGAGGCAGACGTGGATGTACGGTATATCACGCACAGAGCTAGTGGAAACAACTACAAGCCCCTTCGCACAAATGGTGTTGCTCTCCGGGTCCAGACGTCATTCACAGCCCTGTAGATGACCGCAGCGTGTCCGTGTTAGAGCCAGCAGCAGCAGAAGCCAGCACACTCGGCTCAATAATCACACTGATTTGGAGCAGTCTAACACTGGGGGAATCCCTCCGTTTCTTCATCCTCTCTTTCATGTGCTCTGAGTAATCGTAAGGGGAGACTTGCAGAATGCCTCATATCTGCCTATGGACTGATGCTTCATTAAGATCACCAGTCATGAAATGGGATTGTGTTTTTATTTACTAGTTCCAAGTAACAAGAACTGAGCTGTCTGTGTGTTTCATCTCCTTATTCATTTAATTCTTTCATGTATTTAAATTTTTATCTGTCAGCGACCATATTAACCATATATAGTGTTATCTTACGTGGACAGCCAACACTTTAAATAAAAACACTTGAAATAAGTCTGGAGACTGGAGACATGACTAAGTGTCTTGTTTAAGGACACAATAAAAGTATAAACAGAGCCTGAAGTGGCAACCTTAATAGCATAGTCCACTGTATCTCCATGTTAGGACCCAAAGAGGCTGAATAAGGCTGAAATCAGGTATTAGCTGTTCAAAGCCTCCAGCCCTAAGAAATGCATTACTTACAGCTCTGGTACTGAGGGCCCACAATTTGAAATATGTGTAAAAGATGTTGGAATAGTGATGGGATATCAGAGGTATGAACTGACAAATCTTTAAAGAAAGAATACAATGCAAGATCAACTTTCTGGAGCTTTCTAGTATGTTATAACTCTGTTCTGTCACCAAAATCTTGAAGAGGTTTCATATATTCCATGCACATTTGAGTAATTTAGCTATCTCCCCAGAGCCCTAGTTGAACCCTCTTTACGGTCAGTAGTACGATCCTATCCAAAGCACAGCCCACAAGCGAATACACCCATCCTCCCACACAGCTATTTTCCATAAATATACAAAAGCATGATACAAAAAAATATACTATAACTTCATAAGCAGTGATGTGCAGTAGTTTAATTAGCGGGATACATGCTGATTGTGTTGTATTAGTGCTCTGAAGGAGTAGGGAGGCAGGGAGCAGAGAGTGAGGGCTCAGAGCATCAAAAACGAAACTGAAACTAAGTTTTAGATCCAAATAACACTATAATACTATTAATAATACTATTAATACTCTATAGAAGTGTAATAACTGCTCAGTTGTCTTTCTATAATTTAAACCCCCTGCTTAAACCAGAAACTTACTGGATCCCATCATTACATTATGTTAAAAATTATTTCCTTCACACAAATAAACTCCTATTGTGGAGGGATTTTTATTATCTCTAACCCTGTTTCCAATCATATGTTTGGGATTTTTACTATAACTAATGACTTTGATGACCTGACTCTCTCTGGGGACCTCCTGTAATCACTGGCTTAATTGCTAAATTCAAGCATTGCCATGTTCTGTCTCTCACAGTGGTAAAGTAGCAGCATGTTAAACTCATTTGTACTTTAGTGAACACAACATCATCAGCTAAAGCTTATGTACTCCTGAAATCACAAACACCTGCAGCTCCCATAGTAAAGATAGAGTGTACAGCATCCGCAGGGCTGACACACAGAGCATGACACTGGGGAACAGAGTGGGTGGTGGGTGGAAATGCTCGTGCAGTGAAATACATCCCTGGCAGGCGATATGGTAAGATTAGATAGGATGGGAGATGGTGATTTACTGTTGGTGTATCCCTGGCAGCCGTTATCTGACCACTGCCTGGCTGATTTATACATC